AATGTAGGCGACTGAATGATTTGAAATGAAATATAACACTTTATTTAGAAGAATTTCTGAAAGAAAGACTTTTAATTGACGTCATAGATAACATTTTGTGGTACGTACTGTCTATGGGAATAAAAACCCTAAAGGCAAAAACGAAAAATCCGCTTCCAAAAACAAAAAATGAAAGGTAGGAAAAATAAATACAATATGATACTTCTATTGGAGATTTGAAAATGATGAGGCAATTCAGGACGTCATATCACATGGCCTATGGAGTACTTAACGTTCATTCATTAGATATGCATCATCAATGTCAATTAACATTTAATGAATTGTCAAGAATATACTAAAAAGGTGTATTTTAGAAATTCACAATCCCTGAAAGAGTCCTAAGTTCTTACAAAAAATATAAATTTATCAAATACAAATGCAAATACAAGAATAAGAGATAATAAACGGAACAACTTTATGATAAATATGATTGTTTCATCTTTTCTTTATCAATGTAGCAATATACCATTATCAACTATAGTATGTTTGTGTTATAAGGATGCCGACAGTCATTTTAAAATCAACATTTCTCAAATTCTATGGTCGATGCAATGATTTTTGATAGTAGCAAAAAATTATAGTTAAAAATTTTTTTTTCTTTCAAATTGTTTGGCCATTATTTTCACATTGACTTCTCCTTGGAATTTACTTTGTTCTAAATTGGTTCTATTCTACTAGATTTTTGAGATTAATTGTTGTTTTCATGTTCAAATTTCATACATGTATATTTTCTAAAACAGAGAAATATTTAATCGCCATGGATGCGTTTAACATGAGGTTTAATACAAATTTTCCCCATACTTAAATCTTATCACTATTTTTAAATCAATAGAGTAAACAATACTCCAGTGAAAATACATAAAATTTAAACTGTTGCAAAGTAAGCATTAGACGCAGACTTATGTCTATTGACAGTTTTACAATGTAGGCTTATTAAAACCAAACCTTTGACAAAATTAAATTTTAAAAAGAATAACCAGACTAACAGAATAAAATATCAGGAGAGTACGAACAGTATCCAAGCTCAAAGTCCATAAAACAATACAAAATAGGAGAAGAGCGAACACGGACCTCCGATACACAAGAGATGGGATGAGCTGCCATGGAGGAGTGAGCAACCCCTGCCGACCGGTCACACCCGCCGTGTTCTCCTTGTCATGATCGGAATTGACATTCGGAATAAACATACGAATTACATGCATGAAAATGTTACAGCGTAAAGTACCAAGTACATCAGATGGAAGGGAATCTTAAGCCTCCTAGACTAGTGCAAACAATTTAAACCAGACACATTTTGTAGCTTGCATTACATTTTATTTAGGAAAAAACAAAATACGTGACTATTACTTTTTAAAAATAATATAACCCGACTTATGACAATATTTTACTTGATTAAACAATTAATCCAGACCTAGGGCGTCATTTTGGTATAAACGACTAAGATATTCGGGAGAATAATGTTTAACAGGTCCAGGAAAATCACTACATTTAGCTATACAGCTAAATCTACCTATATAGCTTTCTTTACCTATATAATATAGCTTTATTTAGCTATTACAGAGTAAATTTCTGTTTTATGAAAAGCAGACAAAAAGTCAGAAATTGAGGCAGTATTCGTTAGCAACTTTGAAATGGACTGAAAATAATTCACCAAAAACCCACTTTTAAAAATGTTTCTCCTTTTGTGCAATTGCAATCAAAGATCTAAAAGTTTTGGGGCTATGTATAACAGTTACGCTGTGATTAGGCAGCTACTTTAACAAAGAAAAGCAGTTTTGGTCAACAAGATAATTGATTGGTAATAATTCAGCACAATGCAAGGCAGATGGACAGTTATCCAAACAATAGAGATGCATTTTTTGGTTAAAAAGTGTTTAAAAGAGGCAAAGTTTTTACTATCTATGCCCTAGGTTGTTTTTATCAAACCTTTAAAAAAATTTCAGACATAATTTTCAAGCGACCTTTTGTCTGTTTTTCATAAAACAGAAACTTATTCCAAAATAGCTAAATAAAGCTATATTATATAGGTAAATAAAGCTAGATAGGTAAATTAAGCTATATAGCTCAATATAGTGATTTTCCTGGACCTGTTTAAGTGAGCAAAACACAGACAGAGTTTCAGTTAAAGCGATTAAAACGGGACCAATATAGTGTTATTATGTTTTAAGGAAAAGAGACAAGTGACTTTATTCAGTTTAAAACCAAAAAATAAAATTTGACAATTTTGCAAAGTAAGTAGGTTAGTTTGACAGTAAATGAGAATAGCTCAAACCTTTGGTAGGTTCAATATTTATGAAAAGATAAAAAAAATTAGTCTTTAAAATGCAAAATACTATGTTTTTAATTTAGATTTTCAATTACAAAATTTTTCAAATCAAGTCTTCTCAGCATCTTATATAATGTGAATATCCGAAAAAGTAATTAATTTGTCGTTATTTTCTTACAAATAACAGTACCCGACATCTGTAATCAACATTCAAACAAAGCGTCGTATTTACCAATTATTTACATAATATTTGTTAAAATTAAATCCAAGATTTGAGCACTTACCCATTTTATTAATTTTAATTTTCTTTGTTTTCTAGGTATGGAGAGACCGACGAATTCTTGTCCACTACGAAATGTAAAATTTCGCATACATAAATACTACGAGGGCTATTCAATAAATAATGTCCTCGGTGCTCTGAAAGATTTCAATGATCTAGTCTTAATGATTTTACTTAAATATTCTCTTTTACTGAAGACACAAGTCCGTAACATTTTTATCCAATTTCTGGTTGTTTTTAGAATACATTTTTGAGTATGGCTCTTATTATACTAGAATATGGCAGATCCTATGATTTTGGACTTGTTTTTACTTTCTGAAAGTTTTTTTTTAACTTTGGAAAATAAAACAAGTCAAAGAGTGAAAGATCTGGCGAATATTATAGATGTGACAAAATATTAACTATCTGTTTATCCCAAAAACTCCTTTACTCTTCATGGCGTGTGGGTTGGGACGCTGTCATGAAGAAATTTAATGTAGTGAATTCCTGATATTGGTTCCGTTTCTCAAAAATCTTTCGATTTTTTTCTTTTGGGCAAAAAAAAAAATGCTTTCTAGAATTCTCCAGAAATTGAACTGCCTCCCCGAATAAAAATTTAAACAACAAGACCACTAGTATTTAAGAGAATGGCATATAAAAGTGTTTTTTTTTTTTTTTTTTTTTTTTTTTTGTCTTTCGTAATTCTTTGCTTTTCTCAGACCTTGGCTGTTTTTGTCAAGTGCATCTTATTGTAAATTTGTTTTGAGGGTTTAAAGCAACGGATTTAAGTTTCATTATCTGTTTGAATTTCAGAAAATCGTGGATAACTACAATTTTTGATTTTTGTTTAAAATAATTATTTAGATATTCTTACACGCTTTCGTTTTCACTCATTTTTCAAAACATAGGGTGACCACTGAGTACTAAGTTTTTTTAATGTCAAATATTTCTTTAAAACAGAGTAAACTACCCTCACATGATCCCTATCAATTTTGCTAGGTGTCTTAAAGTGAATCAAACATCATCAGTGATAATTTGTTGAATTTTGGCAAACAGTACATTGGTTGTTGTAAGTCCTTGTTGCTATGGACGGTACCCATTTTTGATGCCCATTATATCATTTTTGTTAATTGAAATCCACCTGCTCATGTGTCTATAAAACAGACATTGGTTGCTGTAATTTCACATATTTCAGTGAATATTTCTTTGGGATTCTTAAGGTTGTCCGATCCTCAGGTTTATCAAATTAGCAGTTAAGTAATCAAAAATACTCATAAAACTATCTCTGAATTCACAAAGTTATGTAAATTTTTCCACAGTATTTCTTTAAAGTTAAAGATTAAAGTTAATCATATTATATAGGGAAAATTGTCAAATCTACAATATTTTTGCAGAGAAAGCGAATTAGAACATCAGCAATGCATTTTCTAATTGCAAATTGATCAACAAATATATTTTAGGTTAAAAAATAATAGGTATCCAGGCATTCAGAGAAATTGTCATGAATTTTATACTTATTTGGTATTTTCTGTCTTCTTTTCCCTTTATATATTCTATAATACATAGTGTAAAAGGCTTTTACTATCATTGCAAGACACCACACATTACTTCTCATTCATATCATGCTAATAAGCATTGGTATCTAAGGCTGGATTCAAGAAAATCTTATTTATCTAAAACTGTATTGATTTGTTCTCCTTTGGTAGGGTACAAATGTAAACTTTGATAAGACTTCCAAAGACCTTGAATTTTAAAGATGAATACAATGAAAATTCTTGCATAAAAAAATTTCACTTTCAAGCCTCATTTTGATGCATTTCAAATTAATTATAAATTTTTGGAGTTATCCTTCCTGGCTGAGGATCGGATAACCTTAACGAGTTTTACAGCAGCTTTAATGAAGCTTTTGATTTCCCTCTAGTTTACTGATTCTTTATCATTCATTTTTAATGCAGTGTCTCGAATGGCCCTTGTTTTCCAGCTTCTTACAATGATACTATTTGATGAAAAATGGTCACATAAACTGTAATAAATTCATTAAAGACTCAATCATGAGAGAAAGTCAAACTTAACGTCATATGATTTCTATGTTGTATGTCATAGAGCTCAGGACATTACTTACTGAACAGCCCTCGTAAACGTATCTCTTATCCACAATATCAAATCCCAATGAACCAAAATTTTTTCCTCAATCCACGAAAATAAAACCCCACGAAGAAATGTGATTTTACAGAATACACTCCATAACTCACATTATAACCTTCATTTGCACGAAAATATCAATGCTTCTTAATTTACATCACAATCTGGAAAGACATCAGATTTCAAATAAGACGATATATATATATATATATATATATATATATATATATATATATATATATATATATATATATATATATATATATATATATATATATACTTCATTCATTTTTGCCCATGCAATATATTTTCAGGAACTACAGCGTATCAAAAAGGTGAGTTTTCTTCCTCGAAACCCCTCTCATGAAATATTCAAACTTATCTGGTTCCTTCTCCGTACTGTACAACCCTTGTGATTTTAGAATTTTTTATTATGGCATATACATGTATATATATATTATATATGATGTGATATGGAATATTTAATGTTAGACGTAATGAATGATGCTGATGCCCGTTTTCTAGGTTTGGTACCATTAGAACATTATTGCGCATTTCTTGCATAACATTTTTCAGATTTCATTTTAATATACGTTACCTAGGCCTGAGCCAAACAATTCATAAGTTATATGAAGATATGAAGGATGTTTCGTTATCCCAATTTCTCTGCCTTTGCTTATACAAAGGAATTTTGAGGTACACAAACATCAGTCGAGTTCAAAAGATTGAATACACAATACAAACTGTCATTCGAGCAAAATCGGACCTCCGAAAAATCATATGTAGGATCAGATGCCATATCCATGGATTTTGTAATTGGCGAAAATCTGTAAATAATTCTGCTTGAAATAATGACCTAACAATTTTTATGATTGATTGATTTTTTGACGTCCCGTTGGAGAATATTTTGTCCAGCTAAAATTTCACTAGTAAATGTCTTCAAATTTAAACCTTTACACGAGATTCAGGGCCCTTAAATAGTTCGGGGATCATATTTTCGTGGCAAGGCCTGCTATTACAAAGGACTTCGAGTTCAGAGCAACTGTTCTTTTTTCAAGCGCTCAGTAATTTGAAATGAAAGTTGTATTTCAAATATTACTTAATTTAAACTAGGTCTGCTTATACACAAATACAATGTACATTAAAGTTGACGTTAACAGAATGGTGAAGTTCCCTATTGGCAAAATCTGTTACCAGTGCTTCCATGTAACATTAAAATCCAATATTTACTAAACATGTTCGTTCCTTTATCAGACAACCCAAGGATTTATACGTTATTCTACACGAGAAAAGAGAACATCTTTTTTTTCATCAACTAATCACTCAGATATATCGATGATATTTTATCAATTATCAATAGTTATTTTGATTCATCTGTCGACTCGATATATCCCAGTGTACTCAAAATTATAATTGAAATTACAGCATGATGGTTATTTCATCCAATTGTAAGACCGTTTGATGTGCTTGGTTAATATTTAAAATCGATTGCAAAAAAGTTCATTCCTTTTGTCGCCTTTGCTGCTCCTCTAATAGCTGATTAGATTTTCTATGTCGCCATCTGCCTGGTATTATTTGTTTAAGCCAAAAGGAAACTTCCTATTACGATTTGCTTATTTGTATACAATCAAATTGTAAGCTGAAGAGTCCAGACGTATTGTTAGGAAAGAAAAACGAATCAAGTCTTGGATTTAATGGGGACTTTTTTCATAGAAGTGCAAAGTACATGATTGAAATTTAAGAATTTAAACAACACCTGGTACATTTATATAACTGAAGTTAAAAGTATGAAATATTGCTTTTGTCATGCTCAAATAATAAAAAAATCTCTGAAGTGTTCGTAAGTATAGTTTATTCCCCAAAAGTTTGTTAATAAAGTAAAAAAAAAGTCAAACATTTTTCAAATATAGATAGACGTCAACATATGTTATTGAAGGGCTGAAATTTAGATATTTACTCGGCACTTCGGGTCATTGAGCAGCAAGGGATCTATATCGTGACTTTACCTGTTGTGATTTAGGATTTCGGTTCTTAAGGTCTCATCCGGAAGAAACGCAACTTTTATTTCACTTTGAATTGCCGAGGCTAGCGCTAGGCAAAGCAACATTTACTACCTATTTTCTCGTCTTGAAACCACAAACTATGTTTGGGGGTTAATTTGTAGCAGCTGCAGCCGATGTACTGACCAAACTTTAGATTGCATCATGTTGTTGATTTGTTTACTGTGACGTTTCGTCGCCCGCGTGTTTCCTTAAAGTCTCGGAGTTTCTAGATCTCTTACGTCGCGTATTCGTATTCCACTGCTATCCGTGGAGACTGGTCCAATAGATAAGAACGTATAACCCAGAATTCCATGTAGTTTAGAGTTTTAGCATGAAAAAGTTTCATCACTGCTCAATGGTCCTAGGTGTCGAAAATAGGTATAAATTTGTGGTCTTCCATCTGCAAATGGTGGCATCTCCAATTGAGTGAAAAGTTTTCGAGGGGGACCATAAAGAGTATGTTAATTTTCATACAAAATTGTCTTGTGTGAGAACTCTTGCGAACAATATATATATGTCCCTCTAACTTCATTATGGGTGACCAAAAAACTACATTTGAATAAGGTCATGGTCTTTTGACAAACTTCCTCTGGTTCATATTTGGCAGTAATTCAAGGGGTAAGCACATATCTATATTCACTTGTAACTTTTTATAGCCTTGCTTTTTACACATTTCAGTCACCAGACTATATCAATCATGTGTCCATCCTTTTATCCGACGTTCTTAAGCTCCACAAAGCCATTTGAATGTTCTAGGCCATTCTCGACTTCTCATCCGAATGTGCTAATTAATTGATACTCGTTGATTATGGATCGGAATCGCTACCAAGTCTTTTGTCAGAAGAGGTGTAATACATGTTCCCCAAAGCATGAAAAATATGGTATTCTCTATAACCTTCATTAAAATGAATCCTTTTGTGACGTTTACCGTAAAATATATAGCTTTGTGGGCTTCACATAGGCTTGATTAACGCTAATACGTCAAAACATCATCAGGCTAAACGTAATTGATTTGCCGTTTCATTATAAATCTTCTGTGGATCTTTCTGCTAAAACAATATGTCTGAGTATAAACCAAAGTCATTTATTTTTTTTTCAAAGAGATATTTCATTAAAGAACGTGTTTGCCTTCTTTTCAGCATTCATCAATTTAAAATTAACTGCTTCTCTCTCTGACCTTTATTTTGAATTGCATGCTGAAATAGTACGAAATATACAGTTCGTGGACCCAAGACTCGCTTTAGTTTTTTTAATATCCACTCTCAATTTCTTCATGCTTATAGGTATTCAACATCTGCAGTTGTTCAATAATCTATCACATCCCACAATGTGTTTTATTGTCCTCTTCCTGAAAAGAACCAAACCTTTTCGTGGTTTGGTCCTGGAATTATACGTCACAATCAATTACTGGATGTCAGTCGGACTTTTATATATCCTTATTGCTACCGATATTCCATGCTTATCAGTTTGCTGTATATTTAAACATAAACTGTTCTGTACAAGAACACAGTGCATTGCATCTGAGTTTTCAATTTTGGATACTGATTTCCAAGATGAAGAAAAGTTACTGAATAAGGTAATTTTAATCGTTGTGAGAGTGTTATGTTATCAGAATTAAGCTTCGATTTTCAATTACTTCTTTCTTTATTTTATTTTTTCGGTAGGTGCTACTTATTGAAAAAAAAATTAAACACTTTGTTAGAAATAAAGCTAACCACAAATTTGAGAATAATTTAATATCAATTTATTGATTAATACCCTTAACTTTTTCTTTTAAAGAAACAGAACTATGAATTTCCAATAAATTGTATCTAAGACTCAGATAAAGAAGTTAATAGAAAAAAATCATTTTGTTTTAATGACGGGATAGTTAGTTGTTTCAGATGTAGGGTGTTTGAAAAGTCTTCAGAAGACAAACCCATATTATAATTTGAAAAAAAAAATGATAATGTAGAATATTGACAATTTATAAAGAACTTTTACATAACACATTTTGTAAAATGAAAAATAATAAGTTCTTAAAATACATTTATTGACTTTTTTAGATCCGTAAAAAAAATCTGAGTACACATGCACATGTGCATTTTAATAATAATTTTATGATGCACATAATCCTCCTAAATTCATTATATGTCATCGTTTTCCTTTTTCTGTGTTTTTGTTTTCATTGTGTTTGCACAAATTGTTGTTTGTTGCAATTTTTTTACACATGTAGATGACTCTCACTTATATGTTATTGTATCATAAAGGACTTTTCTCTCATAATTGATCTATAATTATTTTTATGTACAATGTATATAACTGATTGTTGATGCTAGGGTTCCGAATGAACCTGTTACATCTGGCCGAATTTTGAACTTGTCGCATGTCATTCACATATTTCATTATCAACACTTACCTTAAGACACCATAATAATAACAAAATCATTACTTAACAACACAACAATTTAATAATCAATATTTATTATTAATATTTATAATTTAAACAAGCAAGGCATTCATAATCACGCCTAAAAAGATAAAAGATCGAAAGTTATCTACTTTGTATTGAGAGGAAATCATTTCGTAATTTTTATTTCAAATTTTTCAGCAACATTTGTCAAGATTTGCAACCAAACACACACGAAGCAAGGTGTTCATTGTATTAATATAATAACAATGCTTTGATCGTTAGATAGGTAGATGCATTAAATGTACATCTCATGTTCTTTGCACCCTGTTTTATCGACTTAATTATCTTTTTTTATATATTTTCATCAAGCCTAAAAAATAATATTAAAAGAGGAATTACCTCTTAAATATTTCGTATGTGTTCAAGACAAATGTTCAGCACAACCTTCATTAATGATAAAAACAAGCCATAAGGATTAAAATAATTAACAGCAAATAGCCCATTATCTCTGGCTCGATCGTGTCGCTAGCTTTTATGTGCACGGCTTCACAAGTCGGCACTGAGCATATACGGATACATTACTCCAGCCACTTACTCGCTGAATCACTATTAATATCCAATCAAAAATCCATACAAGGAGATGCTTGATTTAATCCCGCTGGGTATATGCCAATTAACACAGACGATACCTGGTCAGGTAATGTCTCGCCAACAGATAATTGGCCGATAGTTTCTTTCCCTTAGACATTCCGTAACGTGCCTTCTTCTTCCTTAGAATGTTGTCTTGTAATCAGCAATGACCAGTAATTATGTTTTTTATATTTCTAACTGTTTACATTATGTGATAGTGTTTCTCTTAGAAACTTATATTACATGTACTAAATATGAATTAAAGGTATGT